ATGTCACTTTATAACAACAGCTATTCAGAGAGGAACATTAATCAGAATATTCTGATTAAGTTAGAACATAACTCCAATGCAAAAGGAAGGCCTCTGTAAAGGACAAACAAACATACTGCGAAATCAGGTGGATGACTCAAGGGCACAGTAAATCAGTAGCAGAGCCAAGAACATACTACTCATACTCCAGGCTGTACATACACCTAATGCCAAATCTCCTGTTTCATCTAACACACATATCATAAACCAAAAATTCTTCACTTGTTACAATGTTTTATCTTGATGCAATAAGAAAGGGCTGAACTATTAAATCTCCTTTTCTACAAATGCTTTGTGACCTAATAAAATGTTCAGACCACAACAATTACTCTCCAAGTAATAGGGCTAAATTTTAGTAAGTTCTCAGAGCTGCTGTTTATGACTGAAATGATTATGTCTATTCCTTTTCTTAGCCCACAGGCTGAGCTTAATAAAGAATTTTGCTGTACCAATGCATTAAATCCAGACATAATAAATCTGAAGCTAATACACCATCTCTGAAGCAGTCTTCAGGGCCTTTTTTTTTCCCCTCAAAGAAAAAATGTAGTGGGAGCCACCAGGGGCATTTGTAGAGATTGAAAATTATGAAGATGAAAACCATGATGGGAAGATCTCACAAAAACACTAGTGCCAATTGTCACTATGTTGCACCAGCAGAAATCTGTACTAAGACCACTTAAAACACTTTAGTATAGAACACTAAGAATTTAATGCCTGAGCACTGTACTGAGATGATGTGAGAACCCACAGCAAGTTTCATGACAGAGCAGTCATTTTAGCAACACTTAGAAACTAAGGCATTAAAAAAACACATTGCTTCTGTCTACTTTTGATGTGGTGACATTTATACAAAAAGGAAATATAATCAGCAAGTTATTTTTATGTGCCGATCAATTTTAAACTTGAGCTTTCTGGTACAGTTTGACTTAATATTTAACTATAGAAGGAATGACAACCTCTTTTCTTCCACCCTCCTCCAGCCTCTCCTCGAATATACATCCAACCAAAAAATACCCAATCAATTTAGTTCAGCCTCTTGATGTGTGTATCAAAGCTACTACATGTCCATCTCTGCTAAGGAGACAGAGCTGTCAGGAGACTATGCATGAGAGCTTAAATCTAGGTGCGTCCAAATAGCGAAATAAACCTACCGCAAGTGACAATCCAGAACAGTCATGAGACACAACATAGACAAGGAGGACATAGGAGGAAGAAATAAAAATTAAAACATCCACACACAAACATTAGTAAAAAACATGGAGAAATGACCTTTTTACAGTTGTACATTCATTAACAATTTTGCCTTCCCTAGAAGGAATCTAATCCTCTCAGTGGCCCTTGGTAGAGCTATATACTAGACTTGAAAAAGTAAGCCTTACTTACAATGGAAATGGGTCTCAAAACTGAAAACCTAACCTTATTTTCAACTCATTTCCCATTCCACCTCAGCTACAGTTTTTGATAATCTTCATATAAAGACAGGTTCTCTTTTGAAATTGTGTTTAGCGAAGTAAGTATTTCGAAGCACAAATATTCCAAAGGAGACAAAAAATTTATTCCCCTTTCTGTAATATCTAGCTTTCATGTGTAACTTTTGAGCTGACTGTCTCTGTGTTAAAAAGATCTTGAACTATGCCAAGTTACATGGCTCTATAATGATTTGGCATGGATGGGCATGAATAAAAGTAGTTCTCCTCAACAAAAAAAAATCCAGACTAAGATAAAAAATATATTTCCAGGAGCTGTTGCTTTCAATTTACCAAATGGCACTCTCTTTCAGCTTCATGTGTCTAGGGAACTAGGATCCAGCAAGATGCCACGTGACTAGCCTGCTATTATGTACTCTTAGCTGAAAGCAGAAGTAATTAGCACTTGCAGGTTCAGGCCTAACAATGACTGAAGTAGGTTTTTCAGTTTTTGACAACATTAGTACTGTATGCTGCCCTTTATAATGGCATTAAATTTACATCTTACTCTTCAATTACTTTTTTAACATTTTGCTTCCTTGAAGAGCTAAAAGGCATTCTTATTATTCCCCTTTCTGTTTTATGCCAGAGCCTCTAAAGTGCTTCAATTCTCTTAACTGAAATATGCTACATTTAGCATTGCCTTGAGTTCAGCTAGGTGTATTAAAACTTGCACTGATAAGTCAAGATTAACTGTTAGAATAAAAACCACGTCATACAGAAAAAATGACAGCCAAAATGTTGCATTAGGAATCAAGCTGGCAAAAGTTATCGAATGCCAAGGAACTAAAATCTGCACACTGTCAGACTGCTAGAAATGAATTTAAGGTGCTAATATAAGAACCTCTCAGCCTGGGTTTGAAATCCCAGACAGTGAGGAGAGGTGGCTGGAGAGTTGGTGATCTGCTTATTAAAGGTCTGACATTTACATCAATTGTGAATCTACCCTCCTTAGGTTTAACTGTGCAAAACAAAACATGCTAGTTAAATCCTAAAATATCCAGGCAAATATAAGTGTAAATAACTATACCAATTGTTTTTACTGGAATCATCTTAAGATACCTATCTCTGCAATGTTTCAAAGTCTTTGCTCTTTTTGTAGACAAAAGATGCAGGATTCAGCTTTTTATCAAATTTTCCCATTAAAAAGATACAAACGGAACTCAATAAAATTATGTAATTTTGCATTTCAAATACTTATTTTCCAAGAATCCATGGTCATTTATCCAGGTCCTAATGAATATAATTAAAAACACTTAATAATACATTGTAAATACAACAAAGGTCTTACATGATATGGAACAAATTCCACATAAATATCAATCAACAATTTGCACATTATTTACCCTATGACAAAGTATTGGGCTTATTATCATTAGCAGGGCATAATGAAGTTCTCAAGAAATTTTTCCATCAGCATTATCAAAGTAGTTCTTTCAAATTATTCTGGGTTCAATGGGAGGAGCTAGCTAACAGTAGCCTAGGATAACCCAACAACAGATGATCTAATTTTCCATACATTGAGGGGTAAACATCTCACAATATCTTAGCAATAATACCTCAGAACAAAGTCTATGCATCAAATACAGGGATTAATGCTAAATCAAAGTGCTTTAAGAGGAGTTCATTTCACATTCATCATAGGGAGAAAAAAAACCACCAGCATATCTTCTTCAAGGGAGAATTCAAAATTTCTGCTCTAATGTTTTTTGAGCTCAGTCTTACTAATCTTTCTAACCTTGGAATCCCTCCATCTCCATTAGTGATTTTGTGTACTGAGGATGCTTTTCTCAGGTATGAATTTGTCTTGTGTTGGTGTTACTCCAGTACACCAGTGTGGCACACCAAGCATTGTATCTCCAGGAGGAACCAAGGTTCAAACTGTGCACCAGTGCAGTATCTAAAGTACTCCACTTGCAATGGGGATGTAAGGGTCTCCAGCATTGTCTTTTATCTTCTTGTCTCTGAAACTGAAACTTGAAGTGTCTTGGATAACTCTACACTTATCCACACTTTTCCTCCCCTTACCTGAGCTCCTTTCTGACTCCTCTCATGTGATCTATTGCAGCTTGTCATCAGACTTGTAAGGCTTCCTCACCCACTCTTCCCATTTTGCTCTTCCCCTACTAAATCCTCCTTGCCTGCAAAAGCATGCTAACCTGTTCCAGGACTCTTAAGATGGGCTCATGAGCCACACTGGTGGCTGTTCCATCACTGAGCAGTGCCATTTCACCACTTCTTCTGGACTGGTCCACGTGCCTCTTCAGCTACCGTGCTTTAAGAGTCTCTTCCTGTATCCTGTTCCTGACCAGCTGGCCTTAGTTCTTGGGTTCCCAGCTTTGACTTGTATTTCTGATCAACCTGCCTTCAGCTCAGCTTTCTTCTATACTAGATCCCAAATGGTGGAATCATTTTATTCCTCAACATGCTTTTATCCTCTTTTTTTGAGTGGGTAATCCCTCCTGTTGCTGTAGCTCAACTTCCCCAGTAGTCCTGGGAATGCAGACTTGACTAGGCAGTATCTTTAAAATTATTTGCTCCTACTTACAAGGGTTTGCAAAGCAATTTCTAAATTTCTTCAATCCCTCCTTGAAAAAGCTCTTTGTCTTTTTAGTTTAGGAAATTTCTGAGCTTTGAGGACAAACAGATACTTCATGTTTATTTCCTCATTCTGCTGCCTATTCCCCACAGTTTGCTCCATGAAGGGCAATACTAAAATCCCACGAATAAAAAGCTTTGTTTTCTCTCAGGAAGGTGTTGGTAGAGTCTGTGGCCCCTTAGTACCAAGCCCTGCAACCTCTCCTTCTCTTCCACCAAGTAGATCTGAAGGACAACATTTTCTGCCCTTACGAAAATGATGGTGCTCTCAAAGGGCATGATATTAATCTTCTTCTCCAAGTTACTCAGCTGCCTTACAGCTCCCAGTATGGCCTGTTATCTTTAATCTGCTCTTCTCTAGCACAAAATGAATTCTCCAAACATCACTGTGTTGAATGTCCCTGTGGTTTTCCTTTTTCATTATTTCCCCTTGTTTCTGACTCTCATTTTTGCCTCTATACTATTGTTTCCTTCTCAGCTGAAATTCTGTGTAAAAAGAAATTTAGAGTTCACAACTACTTCTCTTTATCATGTAATCTCAGAAATACTGTTAGTAAGATATACAAACACTGTACTAGGTCTTGAAAAAAATACAGTGAAAATTGCATAGTTGCTCTGTTTTTGAAGCAAGCAGGATACCCTTGATAAAAACGTCCCTTAAGGATGAGTCATTATATGCCTGCTCTTGTTTTTTTAGCAGAGCAGTGAAATTGGCTGGCTACTTCATCAGTGATGCCACACCCAGGTTTATCCCTTGTGATCACTAAGAACATGCTGTCAATCAGTCCACTCTTCACAGAGCCACTACTGAGACAACAAGCACAGCTTTTTCTAGCCACATCAAACAGGAACCTTCAAATGCAATCCAGAAGTTCAAGAAACAGAGAGGTACTTTACCTGGTCCTTCATGCTTTTCCCTAAATCTTTAACATCTTTCATGTTAATAGCATTCTTCCCTCCCTTCTCCTTTCCCTTCTTCTTGTTCTTCTTTTTGAACAAGCATTTCTTACAGAGACAAAAGCAGCAGGTGAGGATTAATAGGACTGCAACTATGGCTATGGCTATTAAGGCCCAAGGTGGCACTGGAAGAGAAAAAGACACACAGACAAAAAGACGGTGGTAAACTGTTAGTATGGTTAAATTTAGAAACAAGTACATTTCTCTCACTAAGGAGAAAGCCTTTTTCAATGAAAATTCCTTGCAGAAATACCTGAGATCCTTTCAAAAATATCCTGTCATCATTTATATATTTCTCCCAACTGAGCATTTGCCCATACAATGCCAACTTAACACATCTATCTATATACAAGCCTGGCATCACATATCAAACTTGCAGCTATTTTGATTCACCAACCATCTGAAAACAGTATATCCAAAATATTTACACTGTGCAATCTGTAAAATGCTCAGCAAATTTAAGCAATTACTTGTTTCTTTCTTTAATTATCTCCCCAACCCACCTGGCATTGTGGCTGAATCGGGTGGAACTGACTGGAAATTTCCCTTTCCTGGAATGGTATCTGATCCAAGCAGTCAGTTCTAATGAACAGCCCTTTTCCTCTGCCCACTGCTGCACTTGACAGATTCTCAGATTCCTCGCAATAGCTGCAGGTCAAGGTCACCAGTGAAGTCTGACCAAGGACAAAGAGCTGTCCAATCCACAGGCATTTGCTCTATTTGGCATCATGCCCTTAACTAACAAAATTTCAGCACACAGCTATATTCTCACCTGTACTCTCCTATAAACAAAATATTGTTACATTTTTTCAAGAAGTTCAGGATGCAGGACATGGCTGAAGCATGAATAAATAAGAGAGAACACTCACTAGCATAAAATGTTCTTGTTAAAGATCAGAATTTTTGGAAAAAAGCAATTAAGTTGACACTTAACCACAAGTACTCCAGAAGGCAATTATCTTCACACAAATTAGCTTTAATGACCACTGATTCCCACATTTAAGCAGAACACCTGACAAAATTTTAAATCTTGTAAACTATTGTATTCTAAAAATCTTGAAATGCACTCAGTTGGTCTGCAAGATACTCAGTGCATTACCTAAAAGTCTCTAATATGATACAGAGCTACAGAGCAAAGCCAAAAAGTGAATCAAATTTGACATGTTGACGTCAGTGAATCACAAAACGGAATGGACAGTATAAATAGAGAAAATTAATTGCCTAAAGGAACTAAGAGGAGTGCAAAGCATAGTCACTGGAACTTCCACTACAAATTACCAGTTCAGGAAGATGACAGAACATCTACACCTTCCTTACTCTGTGTTTAATGAACTTCTTTTCTAACTTTTATTCAAACAACCCTAATGACAGATAAAAATGCTAGAGAATAGTTAAACAATAATTTCTGTAATATTTTTGTGCCTCCAATTGTTCATTAAATGCAGCTGCTATAAAAGGAAAGCTATACCATATGTAGAACAAATGAGAACTGATTACTAAATGAATGGTAAGAGACAAATGGTGAACAGATTAACAGATGTTTATGGGATGTATTTTATGAAGTCAGCAGCAGCAATTCTGCAGTTAAAGCTGCATTAGATCTGCACTTATCACAACTTAAAATCTGTATTTCATGCATTAGTACTTAATTTTGTCTTCAAAACTGGTGTAGTACCATTTTGTAGCACAACTGACTGTTCTACATTTTTTTTCAGCCAGCACAGCCAGCACTCAGAAACGTAAACCCATCATCTTTCACAAGAACTATGTGCTCTATTCAAATTCTAAACTTCCCATGTATACTTAGTCTGTTAGACACTTAGCACCTGAAACTGCATTTACCTAACACTGTATCTAAGATAATGCACAGGAGTTATGTCAAAAGGAAATGAATGATGTGCTCAAATTTATCAGCTTTTTGTTTCACTGATTTGTCAGCAGTGCCTGAAGCAGGAATATGGGGAGCAGCAAGAATATAGGGTGGAGTTCTGCCAGCAGGATGCCACTCTGTGAGTTAAGTGAAGAGAAACACATCAAGTGCAGGTAAACTGTGAGAATCAATGGGTTGAGGAGACTGGGAATGTAGGCATTAATAGCATAAACACATATGCATCCTGCAGATGAAAAAGCTTGTGAAGGTAGTAAATTCAAGTGCCTTTGTGCTGAAAGTGTTGTATCAGGTGGTATTCTGGCACTGCTGCCTTGGTTCTCTGGAGCATGAACGATGTAGGGTACCTTGGGGAACTTTTGAAACACTTGCAGATACCTCAGCTTCCTTTTTTACATGTGTTGTCTGCTCTCATCTGTTTGTAATTTAATCTCACCCAACAGCTCTTGTGATGCAATTAAATGAACATTGAATTAATATCTGGGGCACCAAGAGTTATGCAGAATTCCTTACTTATCTCTTCAGAGGAAATATGCTTCCTTTTTTTATTAAAAAAATGCATAAGGACTAAAGTAAAAAAATTGGGATGGCACAAAATCTGAACATTTACAAAACCACTGCAAAATTCAAGCCTGAAAAAACAAAAAGAAATGGATTATTTTTCCCAGTAGAAGTGTACTATCTCTGTCAAAGAAACAGCTCATTTGAACATTGTTGTCAACACACAATCAGTGGATGTAAATAATAGATTTAAGACAGGTGAAACATACAGTTATCACTGGCTTTGAAGAGATGTTTGCTTCCTTTCAAAAGCATGATACAAATATTTTAAAATGTTAATAATTTTATGTAATATTGACAAATTTTCCAGACTTTTCACAGTTTTTCTATCTGTGCTCCCCAATTTATGATGTTGCCAGAGGAGCTTTAAATTCAAAAAAAGATAAGGTTTCAAAAGCTACTTTTCTATGAAGTTATCTCCAGGGGGACAGACTGAAGTCATCAGCCAATTTGGAAGACTCAAGTCTGCTGTTTACCACTGGTGACTAGCATCTATAAAAATCTTATCAACAGCATAAGAAATTTCTATTTATGCAGTGGCTCATTTTGAAGATCCATATTGATTAATTTCAGTTGGAATTTAGCCATGCTTATACTGGATTTTCATAGAATTATATTTTACCAGCGGACAACAGTGGGAACCTACAGTTTGAAGACTACCTCCATTCATATTATACCAGTTTGACCAGGCTCAGCATTTTGAAACCTCAGGACATGGTCTCTGGCCATGAACCATTGAACAAAACACCTCTGTGGCAGATGAATCAGGGTGGGTGACCTGGAAAATGCAGATCTTGACCCAGGGATCAAGATGTCAGGGAGCCAGAAGCTTCTTGTACAGCTTGTGTTACCGACTGCCTGCACAAGGGGGTGCTTTGAATCAAGCAATACTTACCTACCCGACCAAGCAAAAGCTATTGGTTTAAGGATAATTAATATGTGTGTAAACGTTCTGGTGTCTCAGTGCTATTTTCTTTGTTCTACTCCTCTGGGAAAATACAGAATACTTATTTTGAAGAAGCTGTCATGAATGTCTACGTGATTTGGTGATTCTACAAAGCTCTTAAAGACAAATCTATAAGAGGGGATTTGCTGAGTAGCAGTTAGTAAATAAGGTCTTGAATTAGTGTTATTGATCCAATCCAGAGTATGCTCTAGGACTTCAGTCAGAAATGCAGGAATGAAGCCTATTTGTAAAAGGAGAGTGTAGAGAGAAAGAAACACATGGCTTACTCCTGGGCAATAGCGGGGCACTGAAATGAGTAAGCTCTAGAAATGTGCCGAATCAAGGCATTTTGGGTACCAATTTTGCATACTTCACTCATATTGAACAACAGTCAGACACAGATGCAACTAAATGGGACCTCTCTTATCCCTCTCTGTTGCTTCCTTCCACTAATGCCAGCCAGAGTTGTGTGCATATTGTGGGTCATTTGATGCACTTGATAGATTTCACAAATAAAGCAGCTGTGATGCTCTTATCATTTTAGTTTGAGCTAAGGAGTCTGTTTACAAGTCTTATCTCCAGACCATACCCATAGATCATGCTTGTACTCGTGTTCTGCAGCAATCTGTTAAGGGTACAATAGACAGAGTGGGAATACATGTTCCCAGAGGTCTCCTAGAGATGCAAAAGGCAATTTGCCCATGAAAGCAAACCTAATTCAAAGCACTGCCCCTACAAACCTTGAGTCCTCAGGACTGACTGCTGCATTTCGCTGACTTGCTTCTACTGAGCTGCACTAGCTTGTGTCACAACCTGTCATGAAATCTTGATTCTTTGAGCATGCTAGATTCAAAGGGAAGGATGTATTACTGAGTTATTCAATTTAAGAGCTACAAATTTTGTCCTTTATATAAAGACATCCTTATTTGGCTTTACACAAAATACTTGGAGAGGTACAGGCCTTGGGTCTAAAACTGACATTTCCGCTAGATGATCTAAAATTATCAAATGCCTTGGAGGACATTTGGCTGCAGAGGAATGACTTTAAGGGGGAAAACAGCATCAAAGTGCTGCAGTCTGGGAAAGAGAATAAAATCCTTGATCCTAATGATTTTCTTCCCTTTCTGAGTGCAACGTCAGAGGAAACCTTACAAACTTAGAACATAAATAGAGGGAAGGTCAATGAAGAACTGAAGAGAAGAGCTGAATTAAAAAGCGAAGACTCCCATGCCAAAACCACTGTTCACCAAAAATTCCCAAATAAGCAGCTCCATTTAAACTGTGACAGCAAAGGACAATCAGATGATGGCAGCTTCCATATCATTCTGAAAAAGAGGCCCATAGCATGTTGGAATTGATAAATATTAATAATCTATGTTTCAGAGGGTGCATGATGCTTAACTGAAAGCTGTAACTGCCAAATAGCTGTATGTGAAGCACATTGCTGTAATCTAAAGCTCTGAAAGCCTGAACATGGGTGCACTGGCAGTTTTAGTTTATTCAACTGTAGTTTGATTTTAGCTTTTTGCACTTACAGCTTCTAATCAGGGAGCAAATTCCATATATAGCCATATTCAGACTTTCTGTACAGAAATTCCCCAGGGATTATGTTCTGGAAATCAATTTGCCATTCATTAGGAGCTACTTATAGAAAATGTCCTGAAAGCAAGGACCCAGGTAGAAGATACCACTACCACAGCAGAAGGAATATAAAGGTGATCAATGCAAAG